TCTGTAATTTCCTGGTTTATCCTTATTTCCTTTTTTATAGATTGGCACTATATTTCCTCCAGTTCATTTGCAAATTTGATACCATCAGATCAGGATTAAACAAAGACTGTGAATGGCTATCCAACTACAGAAGCAGTTTCTCCTCCCTTGGTGTTCACACCTCAACTGCTAGCAGAGCACCTCACCCGCCCGGATTGAACTAACCTCGTTATCTCCATACTGATTTATACCTGCCTCTGGAGATTTCCATTACTTGCATCTGAAGAAGTGAGGTTCTTACCCACGAAAGCTTATGCTCCCAATATTTCTGTTAGTCTTAAAGATGCCTCAGGACCCTCTGTTGCTTTTTACAGATTCAGACTAACACGGCTACCCCTCTGATATATGACCTTCTTAGAAGTGCGCTGGGGCCCGATTGGGAGTCTAGTCTTTTAAAGAGATGGAACCTTACAAAATCAGCCATTCCACTGGCTGACGCACAAACCCACCTTTCCACTCTTTCAATACTACACAAACATCCCTTCTACAGCAGTTTTTCAACAGTGTGGGAGCACTGCTCACACTTTCCCCTCCCAACACACACATTGCAGCTCTGCTTCTCTGCCTCTGATCAGAAATCTTGGCTCTGACTGAAGCACACAGACAGAGCAGGAAGCTGAGCACTCTCTCCCTAATGCACAGGGGCAGAATAAAGTGACATAGCCCAAGAGAGAGCTGGAGAGAAAATCAGGCAAAAGACTTTGCCTTCTATGAAGTAGTGTCATAAATCTACCATTTCATTGGCTGTTCAAGGATATGAATTTTTCTTTACAGGGAGTCATTTCAAGAAGAAAATGGCAAGAGTGAAATATTTTTTGAAAAGCAAAATAGGTTACCTGATCTCTATAATTAGTTTTGCACTTTGTTACATGACTGCTATATGTATATACTCATAGTCATACTTTGTGTGGTGGGATCGAACCATGTGCAATTATTGAAAAGGGGGAGGGAATAGCAAGGATACTGTCAATACTGCAGTTTTACAATCTTTACCCATCGGCTGATCAAAAATGCATCTATCTGTGCAGGAAGACTCAGAAAGGGAGAGAAATCCACAAGTCCATGGGTCCAGATCTAATGCATCCAAGGGTGCTGAGGGAGTTGGCTGATGTGATTGCAGAGCCATTGACCATTTTCTTTGAAAATTTGTGGCGACTGGGGGGGGGGGGGGAGGGGGGAGATGATTGGAAAAAGGCAAATATAATGTCCATATTTTAAAAAAGGAAGAAAGAGAACCCAGAGAACTACAGACCGGTCAGCCTCACTTCAGTCCCCGGCAAAATCATGGAGCAGGTCCTCAAGGAATCCATTTTGAAGCACTTGGAGGAGAGGAAGGTGATCAGGAACAGTCAACATGGATTCACCAAGGGCAAGTCATGCCTGACCAACCTGATTGCCTTCTATGATTGTCAAGGCTCCTTCCCCACTCTGAACTTTAGGATACAGATGTGGGGGCCTGCATGAAAACTTCTAAGCTTAACTACCAGTCCGCTGCCACTCCCAATGGGCTAACTCCCTTCCCTGGTTAGCCTTGAGAGACTCTTCCACCAACTACTTGGTGAACAGAGATCCAACCCCTTGGATCTTAAAACAAAGAGAAATTAACCATCCCCCCTCCTTTCTCCCACCAACTCCTGGTGGATCCAGATCCAATCCCCTTGGATCTAAAAACAAGGAAAAATCAATCAGGTTATTAAAAAAGGCTTTTAATTAAAGAAAAAGGTCAAAATCATCTCTGTAAAATCAGGATGAAAAATAACTTTACAGGGTAATCAAACTTAAAGAGCCCAAAGGAACCTCCTCTAGCCTTAGGTTCAAAGTTACAGCAAACAGAGGTAAACACCCTAGCAAAAAGTACATTTACAAGTTGAGAAAACAAAGATAAAACTATCACGCCTTGCCTGGCTGTACTTACAAGTTGGAAATATGAGAGACTTGTTCAGAAAGATTTGCAGAGCATGGATTAATGTCTGGTCCCTCTTAGTCCCAAGAGCGAACTCCCCGCAAAACAAAGAGCACAAACAAAAGCCTTCACCCCACCAAGATTTGAAAGTATCTTGTCCCCTTATTGGTCCTTTGGGTCAGGTGTCAGCCAGGTTACCTGAGCTTCTTAACCCTTTACTGGTAAAAGGATTTTAGAGTCTCTGGCCAGGAGGGATTTTATAGTATTGTACACAGGAGAGCTGTTACCCTTCCCTTTATAATTATGACAATGATGAAATAACTGGCTCTGCGGATATGGGGAAAGCAGGGATGTGATATATCTTGACTTTAGCAAAGCTTTTGATACGGTCTCCCACAGTATTCTTGCCAGCAAAAGAAGTATGGATTGGATGAATGGACTATAAGGTGGATGGAAAGCTGGCTAGATTGTCGAGCACTACGGGTAGTGATCAATGGCTCCATATCCAGCTGGCAACCGGTATCAAGCAGAGTGCCCCAGGGGTCGGTCCTAGGGCCAGTTTTGTTCAACATCTTTATTAATGATCTGGATGATGGGATTAATTGCACCCTCAGTGAGTTCGCAGATGACACTAAACTGGGGGGAAATGTAGATACACTGGAGGGTAGGGATAGGGTCCATAGTGACCTAGACAAATTGGAGGATTGGGCCAAAAGAAATCTGATGAGGTTCAACAAGGGCATGTGCAGAGTCCTGCACTTAGGAAGGAAGAATCCCATGCACTGCTACAGGCTGGGGACCAACTGGCTATGCAGCAGTTCTGCAGAAAAGGACCCGGGGATTACAGTGGACGAGAAGCTGAATATGAGTCAGCAGTGAGCCCTTGTTGCCAAGAAGTCCAATGGCATATTGGGCTGTATTAGTAGGAGCATTGCCAACAGATCGAGGGGAGTGATTATTCCCCTCTATTCGGCACTGGTGAGGCCACACCTGGAGTATTACATCCAGTTTTGGTCCCCCTGCTACAGAAGGGATGTGGACAAATTGGAGTCCAGCGGTGGGTAACGAAAATGATTAGGGGGCTGGGGCACATGACTTACGAGGAGAGGCTGAGAGAACTGGGGTTATTTAGTCTGCAGAAGAGAAGACTGAGGGGGGATTTAATAGCAGCCTTCAACTACCTGAAGGGGGGTTCCAAAGAGGATGGAGCTAGGCTGTTCTCAGTGGTGGCAGATGACAGAACAAAGAGTAATGGTCTCAAGTTGCAGTGGGGAAGGTTTAGGTTGGATATTAGGAAAAACTTTTTCACTAGGAGGGTGGTGAAGCACTGGAATGGGTTACCTAGAGAGGTGGTGAAATCTTCATCCTTAGAGGGCTTTAAGGCCCAGCTTAACAAAGCCCTGGCTGGGATGATTTAGTTGGTGTTGGTCCTGCTTTGAGCAGGGGGTTACATTAGATGACCTCCTGAGGTCTCTTCCAACCCTAATATTCTATGATTCTAAGAAACAGTTTCACCGGAAATGCTGGAACTCCCCTCTGATTGGCTGACTGCAAGCCAACTGACCCTTTTACAGGGTTATAAAAGACCAAGGCAGCTGTGGAGGCAGCTGTCACAGAGAAAAGAGCTCATGGACCAGATTCTGATACCAGACTCCACTTTTCAGTGTCAAAAGTAAATAGGAAGCTGGCCAAAAGAAGCCTGGGCTAACAACACTCATGCACTAAATTCTTTGCTGACAAAAGTCAATGGAGCTTAACCTATTTAAACCAGTAGAGAATTTCAGTAAATGAGCCCTGATAGTGGGTTAATTTCCTTTTTAATATGCACATGTAACTCCCATTAAGGTTACTGCAAGTTACACGTGCATTTCAAGGTGAGGATTAGATATGAGGTACAAGCTGCAAATGAAGATCTGCTTCCAAACTTCTCCAGAGTTTGGAGGGGCATTTAAACCTGGGTTTTGGATTCTGGCCCATCATTAATAAGTTTAAATCTCTCTATGAATTCACTCCAACACAATGGTTATATATACTTTGCCAGGATATCCTATTCATGGATAAAATTAACAAAAAGATTTTAATCAGAAAAAAATCCCATTGGAGATGTATCACTCTGCAGATATAAAGGGATCAAAAACGGAAGGAGAAACTTGTAACTAGGGGTGGAATTGTACAAATGGAGAAACATATTACCAGTATCAGAATATCTGAGCCTCAAATCAAAGAAATAAGGAAAATTGTTTTTTCCAGGAACACACATTCTAATTGTATCACTCTAAAAACACAAGAATTTAGACCTTGTTTTGGTACCTTTACAGTTGACGATTTTCCTTCCTTTGCGTTTAGAGAGTTTTTATGTGGCTGAAGCATTGGTTCAACTAACTCAGCAAGCCAACCTGTACACACTCCTTTTCGTGAAACCAGTCGAGATGGGGAGGATGGAAACTCCACAACATTAAAAACAAACTGCAGTTTTCCTGGTTGAAATAAATTGGAGCTGCAATGACACAAATGATTAAACAATCAAAATACTATCTGAGAAGGAATCAGTACAGTAGCTTCATTTTGGGCCTAATCCAAATCTCACTGAAGTCAGAGTCTATCCCTTGACTTCATGGGACGGGGCTGTACAGGGCTGGATTGGCAGGTGCCTGGACAATACCATATGAATGACTCACAGAATTCTTCTGAATTTATCAGATTCATATGCATGAGAGTTCTATTTTGTGAGAGCACTGGTAAAATTTTACTAGCCACTCAAAGAATATTGCTTTATTTATATGCAACACAACATTTGCGTGTGTTTTTAATCAGAACATTTTTTATAACACTTTCTATTAAAATATGAACTTAGATTCTTTTCTACCCAGGTTTTATTCTTCCTTTCTTTCACTCTATTTCTTCTCCTCCATCTACTGTCTCCATCTTTTCTGTTTCCCCCCATTCTAGATTTTATTTAATGTTTAATATTGTTCCCTTTCTTTTCCTCTCTCTCTCTCCATTCCTTTCCCATCTTCCCACTCATTTTTAGTGTCCCCCATCCTCCTTTAATCTATTTCCAGCTCTTCATTCTTTTCTTAACCAATTTCATCACTTTCCTTCAATTCCTTCGACCTTCTCATCGTCAGTCTCCCCCTCCTCCATTCCCACTCTCTTCCACTCTATAACTCTTCGCTTTGCAATCTTCTCACCCATAAATTTGCTTTCTGCAGTCTCTCTCAGACAACTCAACCTGGCCTGCTGGGGAAGGCTGCTAGGCAAGTCCTTTCCAGAGACTGCCATGCCTTCAATACTTATCCCTGTTAAAGAGCTGTTGGGGTCTCTTCCTTCTCCTCTTTCTGCCTCACAGGATTTGGGGATGGACAGCCAGGCTGCAGTGATCTTCTGTATCTTTTCCCAAAGGCAAAGGCTGGGAGCTGCCTGGCTGGGTTAGTTCAGCAGCACTAGTAAATGGGAGCAGTCAGTCACTCCACTCTCTCTGCCCGATCTCAGAGTAAAGCAGTTCCAGGAGTGGCAGGTGAGCAGCAAGACAGCCCTGCTGCTCACGGAAGACATCAATCCACTAGGCAAATGACTCATGGCTCAGTCTAGGCCTGAGATTATTTACTTGTTTGCTCTGTGTAACTAAAGCCATACTGCACACTTGCGCTGGAAGTATTCCAAATAAATAAATCAAGGACATTTTCATTTGTTTAGTCTTGGCTCAAGATTTCTAAAAATAAGTAAATAAAATAAAAAAATAGTGAGGAACTTCTGTAGAAGTAGTTATTTATGTGCTGGAATAATTTTTAGCTACTGAGGATTGCATGTGTATGTACAAACTCAAACAGATAAAGCTGAGTTCCACATTGACCGCAGGATCAAAGTTCTCTTAAACAAAACTAAACTGCAATATAACCCAGAGTTTGCTCTCTGTAATGCCTTAACAAGGTATATTTTTGTGAGGAAAAACCATGCCTAAATTACAAACAAGATATAATCTAAATATATCAGTACCTTGAAGCTGAATAGGACCTGGCTTGCAGTTTAGGAAGATGTTCTGAAAAGAATAATAAAAAACCCATTGGTTATCATCACTGTCACATCAAAAATCATTATTTTTAAAAGCGAATTTCTTTATGCCTGAAAATACAAATTTAAACAAACATTGTTTACAGCCTTAAATAGTGCTCACTCCATAATCAGACAGATGTGTATTTGGACATTTTTTCATTAGAAAGATGCAAAAACTTAAAAGGTTCTATTCAACAGTAACTCAGCCTTCAGAGTAATAACGTACACCAGCATAACAGTGGTAGAAATGCTTGAGGGTACAAAGTGTGGTTTGGGAGCAGGTGCACTGTGGTAAAGTAGCTGTAAATCCACTTGAGCAGCAAGGTGGGGAATGGCAATAAAGGGTACGCACAGCAGAAATATGGGTAAAGCTAGAGCCAAAAGGGGCATGCACATTTCTTTGGCACTCATGTACATCAACACAAAGATGTAAGAATCCTGGCTTAATTTAAGACTGCCCTTCCTCATCAACCTGGAACAGGACAGAGTCAGACATGCTACCCACCACCCACTCCAGTGAATCTCCTTTCCTGGACAGCAAATTCAGCTGGTATCTTGCATACTACAGGTGTGCACGTTAAACCTCTCCGAGCCACCTTTCACTGGATTCATACACCATAATATGGACCACAGTATTTTGACATAGTGGACCACAGTATTTTATCTGAATACAAAAACGCAGAGATTTCTGGGGTCACTGACATTCCTTCTCTACTCAGAGAAATTTGGAGATAGCTACAGCTAGGGCCTATCCTTTTAACATTATATTTAAATACAATCCTGCAATCCACTCACCCACTGAATTCCTCAAGTCATGGGTTATCTTTATAGTAATGGCATAGGTTTACAGTACTCATTAACAGTGCTTAGACATGCGACAAATATTATATGTTGTTAATTTGAAAAATATTGAATATTGAGTACCAGATAATACCACATGGGCTCCATTTAAGGACAACAACAACCAGTGCCACAGAGTCCCCTCATGAAAGGAAGGGGAGAAAGAGAAATACAACCACCGAGCTCCCCTTCCACAAGGGGAGGGCAGAAATATCATTGCAGAGGGATCATGGTAGGATGTACAGACCTGCTGCTCTGTCCCAGAAAACTCCCATGCACTCTGCAGCTTTCATTTGCATTAATTCCTTACAATACACAACATTTCAGAAACTCAGATGCTCCAGGGCCCTCCAAGAAATGAAAACCCCAGAGTGCAGGAAATTCAGGGCTGTGTGGGGAGAACACAAACTAGTTGTATTTTTTATTATTCATTCAAATATAAATATCTGCAAATAGCAGCTATTTGCATATACAAAACAAACTTTAGTAGAGTATTTGAACCAACTCTACATTGTACAAAATAAATGCTTTTGGGGGTTGTTTTGTTTAAGGAAATCTACTGTATTATTTCTGAAGAAAATTATTTTAAAAAAAGGTATTTTTGGTTTGTTTTTAACAGTTATATAGGATATAGGGAAAAATAGAATACCAAAAGAGAAACAAAAGAAGGCAAAAACCGCAAGTGTTGGAAAATGGGCCCTTGAAAATGTTAGCTTTTATTTAAAGCTGCTTTACAAATAAAGGCCCTGATCCTGGAAACACTTATACCAGTGCTTATCAATATGCACAGGAGCAGCGCAAAGTCAACAGGATTACTCACATACATGAAGTTCAGCATATGCATAAGCATTGGCAGAATCAAGGCCAAACACTACAGGGTGAAGAGCAGGTCTTTACTTCCAGATTATAAATTCAGTTTGATAACCTTGGCTAGTGATTTTCCCAAAGAAGCAATAACTTAATAGTGTTTTGTTTTTAAACGTATACTCTGTTGCATTTTCAGAAATTAAACACAACTGAACTTAAATCAGCTACTTACCTATCAGCAGATTAAGTGGAGGTCTGCACGTTGGAAAAGCATGGAGTAAATCCAATAAGCAGATATTAGGGTCTCTGATGAAACTATTGTAATCAGAGGCTCCTTGTTTGCTGCACAGCTCCTGAAGCCTTCGCTTTTCTCTGGCATCACTGGTGTATTCTACAAGAGCTCGCAAAAATGCCTAGAGGACGAGAGAAGCAGGTTTTAATTTGGATGATTTTTACTGTTTGTATTTTCATGATGTTTTGTTCATTACCTATGTGGAGATTTGCCCAACTAGCTGGGAACAATTTGGATTGCCTGCAGCGACATCCTGTAAGTTAACAAATAATGCAATTTGCTATGTGTTACATATTTTCACCTCCCATGAAAATTTTTCCATTTCTCAGCCACCTCCTCCAGTGCCTGGGGCAGCGTAGCAGGTCACGAAATCTGATTTAGTCAGGTGGAGGATGGGGTGTACTGCTGGATAAATCTAAAACTTCTTAAAGACTTTCTGGGTGGATTTGAACCTTAATCTCTTACTTGTAAGAAAACAGCACCCTAACACATATAAACTCAAAGGAAACACGGTTTTCTAAATTACAAACACAAAGATATAAGTAAAACTTTTGAGAGGTATTATGTGCAATATTAAGTACAATATACACTGAGCAGCGTAAATGCAATTATAGTATTCTACTCTGTTCTCTTATGTCCACATACAGCAATATGAAGAAATGGTTACTCACCTTCTTGTAATAGTTGTTCTTCGAGATGTGTTGTTCATGTCCATTCCAAGCAGGTGTGTGCATGCCGCGTGCACGCCAGCCGGAAGATTTTACTATAGCAGCGTCCATAGGGTCGGCTCCGGCACTCCCTGGAGTCTAGGTGGTGGGGTCGGAGGTCACTGCAGACTGGAGGACTGCGCGGCCAAATGCAGCATCCTCTCTGGCTTGGTGAGTGATGGCGTAGTGCGCCGTAAAGGTGTGGATTGAGGACCAGGTGGCCGCTCTACAAATTTCCTACGTTGGGACGTGGGCCAGGAACGCAGCTGAAGAGGCCTGCGCTCTTGTGGAGTGGGCCGTGACAGGTGGGGCTGGTATATTGGCCCGACTGTAGCACTCCCGGATGCAGGTTCTGATCCAAGCCGAGATCCGCTGTGACGTGACTGGGAGCCCTTTCCTACTGTCGGCCACGGCGACGAAAAGTTGGGTCAACTTCCTGAAGGATCTCGTCCTTTCGATATAGAACGCGAGAGCCCTGCGAACGTCCAGAGAATGCAGCCTCCGCTCCTTAGCCGAGGAATGTAGTTTGGGATAAAACACAGGGAGAAAAATGTCTTGACCCATGTGAAATGTGGAAACCACCTTAGGCAGGAACGTTGGCTGCGGCCTGAGTTGGACCTTGTCCTTGTGGAAGACGGTGTATGGAGGTTCAGATGTTAGAGCTCTGAGTTCCGATACTCTCCGGGCTGATGTGATAGCCACCAAGAACGTGACCTTATATGAGAGGTATAACAGCGAGCATGAAGCCAGCAGCTCGAATGGGGGCCCCGTGAGGACAGACAGGACCAAATTGAGGTCCCAAGCAGGGACAGGTTGACGGATGTGCAGGAACAATCTGTCAAGGCCCTTAAGGAATCGTCCAACGAGTGGGTTCACAAACACTGAGGTCCCCCTGTCTCCAGGGTGGAATGCGGAGATTGCAGCAAGGTGTACTCAAACAGACGAGAGAGTTAGTCCCAGATGTCTCAGATGTAGCAAATAGTCCAATATGAGAGGGACCGGGGCGAGCAAGGGGGCCTGACCTCGTTGTGTAGCCCAGAGGGAGAAGCGCTTCCACTTGGCCAAGTACGTGGTCCTTGTTGAGGGCTTCCTGCTGCCCAACAGGACCTATCTGACCTGATGAGAGCAGCGTAACTCCACTGGGTTTAGCCATGGAGCATCCAAGCTGTAAGGTGGAGTGACTCCAGGTTCGGGTGAAGGAGGCGACCGCGATCCTGCGTGATCAAGTCCGGTAGTAGGGGCAACCTGAGTGGAACCCTCGTAGACATGTATAGGAGAGACGTGTACCAGTGCTGGCGCGGCCACGCAGGCGCTATCAGGATGAGTCGAGCGTGATCCTGGCGGGCCTTGAGGATTACCCTGTGAATCAAGGGAATCGGGGGAAAGGCATAAAAAAGCCCGTCTGCCAAAGAGAGGAGAAAAGCGTCTGATAGGGACCCCTGACTGCGTCCCATGAGGGAGCAGAATTGACGACACTTCCTGTTCTCGTTGGAGGCAAACAAGTCCACCTGGGGATGACCCCAGAGTTGGAAAATTGAGAGAACTATATCCCAGTGGATAGACCACTCGTGGCCCTGGAACGAGCGGCTGAGGGCGTCTGTGAGCGCGTTGTGCATGCCCGGGAGGGATGCTGTCAGGGGAATTACGTTCTATACGCAAAAGTCCCATAATGCGAGGGGCTCCTGGCAAAGGGGAGAGGAGCGAGCACCACCCTGTTTGTTGATATAAAACATCATTGGAGTATTGTCTGTGAGGACAGAAACGCACCTGCCTGCCAGCTGGGACTTGAATGCTATGCAATTCCCTGACATTGATGTGCAGTGACAGATCCTCCTGCGACCAAAGACCTTGTGTTCTGAGGTGGCCCAGATGTGCACCCCATCTCCGATCCGATGCGTCCGTTACCAGGGACAGGGAGGGTTCGGGGTCCAGGAAAGGAACTCCCGCGCAGACCACCCGGGGGTCTAGCCACCATTGAAGGGAGTCCAACACTGGCAGAGGTAACGTCACCACTGATTCTAGGGAGTCCCTGACAGGCCGATAAACCCGTGTCAACCAAGATTGGAGTGGGCACAGTCTGAGCCTGGCGTGTCTCACCACGTAGGTACCTGCTGCCATGTGTCCTAGTAATTTGAGGCAGCTTCTTACTGTGGTGGTAGGGTAACTTTGGAGGCCGAGAATGATGTTGGATATAGTTCGGAATCTGGCCTCTGGGAGATATGCCCTGGCTTGTGTCGAGTCCAGAACTGCTCCTATGAATTCGATTTTTTGAGTTGGAGACAGTGTGGACTTGGCCTCGTTGAGTAAGAGGCCGAGTGAGCGGAAGGTCTGCCTAATGAAGACCACCTGAGCCTCCACTAGTGCCTTGGTCCTGCCCTTGATGAGCCAGTCGTCCAGGTAGGGAAATACCTGGATCCCGTGTCTGCGCAGGAAGGCTGCCACGACTGCTATGCACTTTGTGAAGACCCTTGGGGCTGCTGACAGACCAAAGGGCAGAACCGTAAACTGAAGATGAACGTTGCCCACGAGAAACCTGAGGTAACGCCTGTGCTGAGGGATTATCGTGATATGAAAGTATGCGTCCTTTAAGTTGAGGGCGGCATACCAGTCTCCTGGATCCATGGAAGGAATGATGGAGGACAGGGAGACCATGCGGAACTTGAGTTTCCTCACAAACTTGTTGAGACGCCGCAAGTCCAGAATAGGTCTGAGACTCCCTTTCACTTTCGGAATTAGGAAATATCGAGAATAGAAGCCCTTGCCCCGTAGCTCCTGCGGAACCTCCTCCACTGCCCCTGAAGCGAGGAGGGGCTGAACTTCTTGAAGTAGAAGTTGCTCATGAGAGGGGTCCCTGAAGCGGGACAGGGAGGGGGGCTGGTGGGGCGGGAGGGAGGAGAACTGGATAGAATATCCCTCCTCTACCGTGCGCAGCACCCAAGCATCCAACGTGATCTGGGCCCACGCACAATAGAAGGGGGACAGGCGTGACGAAAAGGTAAGGTTGAACGGATCCAGGGTTCTGACTGGCAGGTCGTCCTCGACCAAGCCATCAAAATGGTGGTCTAGGCCCCTGTGTAGGCCTTGGTTGGGCAGATGACTGTCCGAAAGGCTGCTGTTGTTGCCTCCTCCTGCCCATTCTTGGCCTTCTGCGCGAGGCATCTCCTCAATTTTGAGGCTGGTATGGTCGAGGGGCCTGCGGCGGCCTGAACTGCCTACCCTGGGTAACACGGGTGTGTAGGCCTAAGGAGCAGAGGGTGGTCCGCAAATCCTTTAGGCTATGTAGCCTCTTATCAGTCTTTTCTGAGAAGAGCATGGGCCCTTCAAAGGGCAGGTCCTGGATCGTTTGTTGGACCTCGTGAGGGAGGCCGGAAACTTGAAGCCAGGCCCCGCGCCTCATGACCACACCAGTCGCCAGCGTGCGTGAGGCTGAATCGGCCGCATCCAAGGCCGCCTGGAGGGAAGCACGGGTAATCAATCTTCCCTCTTCAACCAGGGCCGAAAACTCGGTTCATGAGTCCTGTGGGAGGAGGTCCGTGAACCTAGACAAAGCCGAGCACGTGTTGTGTCCATACCGGCTCACTATGGCTTGCTGATTGGCAATGCGCAACTGCAGGCCCCCCATTGAATATACCTTGCGCCCGAACAGGTCCAACTTCTTAGCCTCTCTATTTTTAGGAGCAGCCCCCTGGAAACCCTGGCATTCCCTCTGGTTGGCCGCATCTACCACTAGGGAGTCCGGTGGGGGGGGTGTGTGTATAAAGATGTTCATACCCCTTGGTTGGAACAAAATATCGCCTCTCAGTCCTTTTGGCCGTAGGGGCCAATGAGGCTGGAGTTTGCCACAAGGTGCGGGTTGTGTCTGTAATGGTCTTTATGAGAGGTAGGGCTACCCTAGACGGACCTGACGGGGCCAGGATGTCAATCACAGGATCTGTGTCCACCTGGATCTGCTCAGTCTGTATCGAGAGGCTCTGGGCCGCTCGAGTAAGGAGCTGTTGGAGGATCCTATTGTCCTCTAGGTCCGTGCCGCTGAAGTTCCCGCTACTGCCTCGTCCGGAGATGAAGAGGAAGATGTCCCACGCAGAGGCCCTTCATCTACCACGTCTCCCTCTGTGAGGGCCTGCGGCATACGGTACTCAGGCTGCGCGGCCGGTGCGGGCTCAAGATGCGGCACTGCGGCCGGTACCGGGGTTGCCACCGAACGACGAGGAGTGCTGGACGGTGCCTGCGCTGTTGGGAGCAAAGTCAGTGCCGTTGTTTGACCAGGGGGTGCCGTGTCCCCTTGTGGCACACTCCTGTCAGACGGCGGTGCCGGTGGTGGTGGCATTAGCGGCGGGGGCGCAGATGTTGAGGAAACAGAAGCGGTTCGTGAGCGGGGCCCATACGCCTGATCCACTGACTGATGGTAGGCCCA